GTATAAGTCATAAATGAAAATCTTCCTCACTCTTGAACAGTTACTTCAACCAAAAACAGATGCAACCAATACATATTACAAGCACTGCTTTGGTAGAAACACCATTAGCTAAATAGAAAAAGGAACTGGAGTTAAACACTAAATCTAGCTGAGAAAGAAAATGATCCCTAATTGCAAATTGAGCTTTGGGCAGTGGTGGTACATCAGCCTAAAAGGAAATTGGTGAAATCAAATGTTAAAAAGTCTCAGAACTGACATCATTAGGGCAAAGTGATGAAATAGATAATGTCACTTGGCCAGGGAGCAGCAGTGTGGCAGCTTGAGTAGAGATTAGCTTCCATGGGAAAAAGGGAAGTGATACCTGGGACCAAGACAGATGCTGTCAGGGAGAGGCTGCAAGTTGAAATGGGGAAATTGCCTATTTGGCCAGGGAAGGAAGCCTCAGCTGAAACAGAAATGAGACATCATTTGTTGGCAAGAAAAGAAAAGGGCATTGGTTTCTCATTTCAACTTTCAGGGAACAAACTGGTGGCTTCGAGTTAAGAGGATGGCAAGATTCAGTTTATGACTGGTTCTGTTTGTGTTTCTTTTTTTCTTCCTAGGCTTGAAATTTTCTTACTTTGCTATGAGTAGGTGATTGAGACGGGAATTCCACCAAGTTTTATGGCATGGGTACTCTGTGATATGAATGACATTTAATTTCTCTGCAGCCACAGTGTGCTTAAACAAACATAGGTGTCACCTCTTCATTAATAATACCACAGACAAATTTTGGGTTTTGGAGGAGGTAGCCTAGTCTCTAAGGAGCCCTTGTGGCCCAATGATTCAGTGCTCAGCTGCTAACCAAAGGCTAGGTGGTTGGAAACCACCAGTGCTCTTTGGGAGAATACACCTAGCCATCTGCTCCCAAAAAGATTACAGCCTAGAAAACCATATAGAGTAGTTGTACTTTGTCACGTTGGGTTGCTATGAGTTGGAATTGACTCCAGGGCACACAACAATAAGCCAAGTCCACATGTGGTGCAAATGGTTAAATGCTTGATTACTAGCCAAAAGGTTGGCGGTTAGAACCCAACCGAGGTGCCTTGGAAGAAGATAGGCCTAGTGATTTACTTAAGAAAGGACACAGCCTTGAAAACTCTACGGAACAGTACTACTCTATACACTTGGGGTTGCCATGAGTGGAATCAACTCGATAGAAAATAACAAAGCCAAAATTATGCTTCGGGGAATGCAAACAAGAATGCAAAATTGATGAAGGGAATCATTATTGGTTGCTTTTCACAGCCACCCAAATGAAAAACTCTTTCAGCTCAGGGTCCTGAGGCCCAGATTTCAGCTTCTTTTGTCTTTCTAGGCCCAACCCCCAGTCCTGTTGGTAGCTTTGGGATTCAAATGTAGATGAAATGCAGATTCCTGGGAGAATGGAAGAAGTGACTAGTTTGGCTAGTAAGTGGAAAAGGGGAAGATTTGTAATTTAAGAGTATAGTCATTGTTCTCCTGAGGCAGCGATGGTTCAGATTCCTAATCTGAAGAGTCTTATTTTGAGCGGTACCATCGACTATCAGTTGTTTGGATCTTTTTGGAAGAGTAGTAAATTGAATTGTTTCCACCACTTCCTCTGGTCAGGTAAGGGACAAAGTTTATTGCTGGTAGATGTATACTTTAATCACTTGTGTATGCCATCTCTCTTGGTAACTACTTCTATAATCTTTAAGATTTATATATTTTATTAGTACATACTCTTGTGTGGCATGTGTTTTTGGTACAACGAAGACATCTTCCTGATGTGTTTACGGGATGTGATTTCACTTTTATTCTCAATTCACTGAGAAAGTACATTCACATCACCCACACACGTGGTCATGGTAACCACAGCAAAAACTTCACCATTTCTTAAAAGGTGATACAAACTCAAGCTATTAAATAATATTGGGCATATTTAATTTTGTTATGAGCACTGACAAAATGTTGTTTATATAAAAAAGTGAGGAGAGAAAGCAGAATTTGCTTAAAAGCAAGACAAATTGAGGTAATGAGATAAAATATATACATAAACAAAATAATATTCAATAAACCCAGACATACTTGGGGTGTTGAGGAGAAAGGCAGAAAGGAGGGCAGATTAGACCGGAAAAGAGGACAATTGAAAACTTGTTGAACTTCTCAGTCTCACTAGTTGGGTACCTCTGTACTGGTCTCAGTTGGTGTTCTTAATAAAGATGGAAACCATCTAAAGGTTGCAAGAGAGGGGTAGCTGGAGTTGAGTTTAGGAGAATAGCTTACTTCTGCTTTGTTATGGAGGCAACCTCTGCAGAGTAGCTACTCTTTTAATGTTGACTACTATAGCAATAAAAATCATCCAGGTCATCAGGATTAAAAGTCTATGTAAATAATCTTTCTGGAATTACTTTTTTAAGGTTGTAATTCTCTTTTTCACATGGGGAGAATCACCTTACTCTGATTATATATCTATCAAATGTATTAGATCAATGTCTGGACGTGGTTGTTGGGCATGTCTTTCTATCCTTTTGCCCCGCACACCCCTCACACCCTGGCAACAGTGGTAGGATGGAAGATTCTTAGTTAAATATATTTAACATTATGGTATCATCAAATGCATGGTGGAGCAACTTGTGAATGATTAACAAACTCTGTTTTGATGGTGGCTATAATTAGGGTGATGGTCATGGGAAAAGAAATGTTTGTATTTATACTGTTCAATCATTGCATGTATGTTTACATGGGAGCTATAGTTGTTCATTTTCTATTGAAGACCCCTTTTTCTTATTTATATTTTGTTATGCTTGTGTGATTTTTTTTTAAACTATCACCTGCAAATATTTGAGTACATGTGGTAGTGTGCATTAATTGCTTTGACATTTCTAAAATGTATGAAGTCCTAGTCCTTGCCTTCAAGGAGCTTTCAATTTACTTTGATGAGTTTGTGTGCCTAGAAAGACTGTAATAAACTCTAACAAGCAATGGAAGTGCATAGAGGAAAGAGGCGTTATTATTTGGAGGAGGGAGAGAGAATTGGCTGAAAGTCAGGGAAAAAGGCAGAGCTTCAGCAGCACCTTGAAGAATGACAGGTAGAAGAGGTGGAGATTTTAATTTGTGATTTTTGTTGTCAAGGTATTTGATAATGGGATTTGAACGTGTGGGTGTCGGGCTTCTTTGTGGACCCGGGAATTCCAATTCATTCAATAAAAGCGTATTTGTTTTAAAGAGAATGGTGCTGGGCGTTGGAGACTCAAATCTGAAGATATTTAGGAGAAGGTCATAGTCTAGAGGTTGGGGGGTGGGGGGAGACAAACGCTTAAAATACAGAGATAAGGGCTGCAATGGAGCGTGTCTGAAGTGCTTTGGGGAGCCTCTGGTGTTTGGGAAGCACCTGGAGAGGGAGTAACTGGTTTTGCCCTGGAAGGCTGGAAGGCTATGCTTTTCAGGTGACGTTGGAGCTGGGGTTTAAGGCTGAAAAGGGGAATTCCTGGCACAGGCAGTATTAGGTACAGAGGCACAAGCGTGAAGAGAATAGTGATTCGATTTGTAGCGACTTACGGAACAAGCTTTGTGATTGTTCCCGGGCGCGGAGAGGGCGGAGAACTCTACTGGGTCTGTGCAAAGCCTTGTGGTTGTGAAAATGCAGATTCGGGGCACAACGGCTTGGGTTTTAGGAAAAAAACTAGGGAGAAGAGCCTGGCGGCTGTGAGGTCGGCTAGAAACCCGAGCTGGCTGGAGTACCAGGAATGGGGTAGAAGGAGAGGATGGATCGGGAGAAATGTATTTGGTGATGGTTTCCGGGTGCAGAGACTGAGGGAGGATGTGAAAATGTCTCTGAAGTGCTCCGTGAAGTTACGCTGCATTTGGCTGGAAGGTTTGGAGCTGCCCGCCGTTTGGGGGACCTAGCCAGTAGGGCCCTTCCCCACTGTAACCAGAGGTCTTCACGGGGATGGGAAACGCTGGGCTCCCGGCAGGTCGGCCCTGGGAGCGCGCCACTCGGGCCGTCCCGACGGCCCATCTCCCCCGCGATCCGGAGAAAGGACCAGCCCACGCAGTTCCGACCCAGAGAGCACTCCCCCAAGAGAACCACGACTGACAGCTTCATTCCATTCGAACTTAGACTCCTCTCAAGTCCTAGTTCCAGCCCCTGCGTTCCCAGCTCCCCCATGGAGGTGGGCACTCGAGGAGGAAACCTGGAGGCCTGGCGCGGGGCGGGAGAGGGGCTCTGCCCACAGGCGCGAGGCAGCCCCTGCGCTCGGCTTCAGTGGCTCCGCGGGGCACCCCCGGCTCGGGCCGGGCCGAAGTGCGCCGCGCGGGAGAAGCGACGGCCCCGGGCTCTCCGGGAGGGAGGCC